CTCTGCCTAAAAGATGCTCAAAACAGAAGTGTAATAATTAAAAGCAAATAAATGAACTGAACAGGAAGACTGAGTGGTTCTCCTACTTTCCTGCCTTTTCCTGTAAACAACTTTATGTTAATTTACCTAAAGTACTTCATTACTGTATCTTGGGTTTCAGTTCTTTTTCTTATATCTGACTCAATCTTCTCAGACCTGTGCTTTAATGCCTGTATGCTGGATCCAGTCTGTGTGCAAGACAAGTACTTCATGCTAAAATGCGTAACTTTGGCTGTAATCCTGAAGAAAATGTATTATGAGAAAAATACAATATATACTCTAATTTAAATTGAGAATGGATTAGAGCCATGAAATAATGAAGCACACAAGAAGCAAGTATTGTCCAGTCATTTTTTCTAATTTCAGCAAAATGTACTGTACCAATACAATATAAGACACTCTAGTAATACTCAGACAAAGTTTTTAATTCAGACAGAGTAATTCTCAAAGGGACTTGACATAAATAATGTTTATTAAATCTCAGTAGTTAATACCTTTCTCGAGACTTGTGTGAAAACATTGCCAAGATATTGTGTCCGTGCACTTAACATTCATAAGTAAGAAAAATGCATCTGGAAAATATATGAAATGGAGTACTGCTGAATTAAAATATACAGAATTTCATATAATTACCATAGAGGTTAATCAATACAAGAACTATGTTAGCTGTAGTTCTCTCCAGTTGGAATTGCATTTTGGAATTTCAAATAACTTATGGCTTGTTCAGTGACCCATGTTTTGTGGCATAGACTAAGTGTGAACAATGAAGAAAACTGGTTTTCTATGCAGTATACATATTCTACTCCAGGTATCTTTTTATGTGTCTGAGCTTACAGATATTATTAGTATTTATAATTGGTATGTACCAAACTGATCATTTTTAGGTAATTAAGGGACAGGTATGAAATAATGCAAGTTTATGAATGGGGTAGACTTAACAAGTGTGTCTTGAATAGTGAATCTCTTTTGGATGCTGCTTCCCATCTTAACATAAGCTGACTGCTGGTTCATCTCTTTGCAGAATTGAATGTGAACTTTCTTTTCACCCTTTGAGGGCTAGGCAGGGCCATGAAGAGTTCACATTCATGGGCTGAACTAAGACACGCACTCCACATTAGAACTGTCTTGCCTTTGAAGTTAGAAATAGCCACTAAAATTATTCAAATAAGTTACCAAAAGCTGTTGCTTTCAAACTAAAAATAGCACTAACTACCCAGATAGTGCCACTGGTGATTTTTATCATTGTTGTTCTTCAGTAGGATTTTCCATGTGAAACAAAACTAGTATGTTATGTTAGGATAACAAATAAATTGAAATCCTAATGACCAGCAAAATACTGCACTTTAGGTATATTGTTAGTGTATGCGTATATGATCCAAATTGCTTTCAACTTAAGATGAGCAAAAAAGAAGCTTTTGGAATTATTTTTTTGGATGTATCACTCTGAGAAAGCTGCATGGCTTCAGTAGTTTTTATTTGTGTATTTGGGGAAAACGCACAAAAATCTCAAAAAAAAACAAACAAAAAAAACAAAAAAACCACAAGGAGAACTGAAGTTTCAAAGTGACATGAAAACCGAAACTGATTTCTGCATGTACTTCCAGTATCAGAATCCTTGAATCAAACCTTTTGAAGGGATTGAGAACATTGTATCAAGTAGGTTTGCTGTTCTATAAATTTGTGGGATTTTATCATTGTTTTAGACCTTTGCAAAGTTTGTGTCCTGGGTTCACCCAGGACACAAACCACCATGTTTACCCTGACCAAGGACTCTGGTTGGTACACGTGAGGAGCCCCCGCGGCCGAGCCGAGCCTCGCGGCTGAGCCGAGCCCCGCGACGGCGGAGAGCGTGCCCCGGAAGCCGCCCGCCGAGCCCCGGGAGGATGCAGGAGACCACGCAGCACTTCCCAGCAAGTCAGAGGAGGAAGCGCTGGACTCAGGAAAAGAGAAGCTGGCGGTGGGAGAGCCGGCAAGCACAGCAGCTACACCAGCCCCAGTGACAAGTACTGCAGCATCGTTTGAGATTTCTGAAGGTTTTGAATGGCCTTTGGGTATCCAAGGGACCTGCACAGGAGATTCAATTTTTGGGAATAAAATGGCAAGATGGACGTAGACAGATCCCCACAGATGTGATCAACAAGATAACAGTAGACTATCGTGGCCTGAATGAAGTCACACCACCAATGATAATAATGATAAAGGAAAATAACAAGGGAAGAGAATACAACGCCTCAGCACCAGCTCACAAAGTCCTTGGCCAAACCAAAACATCCTTGTTATCAGCTCTGTTCCCGAGCTGAAAGTCAAAACACTGCACTGCACCAGCTACCAAGAAGGGGAAAAATGACTGCTACTGCTGAACCCAGGACAGTTTGTCATAATAATTACAGCTTTTTCTTCTATGCAAAAATATATATTGAAACTACAATTTGATTGCTACTGCCAGGTGTTATAAGTAGAGATGATGTGAGGCCACATCTACCTAGTATTTTAGTTCAGGGTAGGATTGGCCTTTCAAAGCAATCTTTTAGAGTGTTGGCATATACCATGCTTTGACCTCCACCATGGAGTAGTCTTAGGAAAAAAAAAATTTGAATTCTCTTGCCTGAAACTAGACTGAGAAAAAGTATCTAAGGATCTTGTAATGTACTGCAGCTGCTAATGGGAACCAGACTGGAGTGAGTCCAAAGTAAATAGAAATCCACAAATTAAAACCCACAGGTCATTTTCTCCATTTCTTTATACATACATCCACATTTACTGCTTCACATTACTTATTAACAGAGTTACAGTCCCTATATGTGCACTTCAGTCTGGATTAGAAATGTGTTTTGGCAGTGAATATCTCATTCATCCCTATATCCTGTGCTTAGCTGCGTTCTTTACGATGAAACTAAAGATATGATCCAGGGACATACCTGATATGCTCCAACATTCAGTAAACAGGATGAATTGATTATTGCAATCAAATGGAAATAAAATGTCTGCCTAAACTGGGATATCACAGAAGTATTCCAGAGTAAAAGCCACAAATTATGTGCGCTGTGGACATCAAGTCCTTAGTGCCAACAGACTTGCTATTCTGTATCTAGTCTGATGAAACAGGCACAGCCAAGTAAAGCTGAGAAAGACCTTTTGTAAACTTTGTGCATCATCTGGGCAATCCAGAGCATTTGCTTACAGATTTTAAATTTGAATCTGACATTTTATTTCCTCAGTAAAATGTATAAAATAAAGCAGGAGCAATATGCTCATCTTCATACTCCCATCTAAGGAAACGAGAGAGCACAGGCAGTGGGGTTTTTTCTTCTTGAAGAGCTTGCTTGTAGCAAGCATATGGACAATATTCTGCTTATGTAAGCGAGACCTGGCAATTGTGGGATTGTCTGTTTGATCTTTACCCTTCTCTCTTGATCTTCTCTGATTTGTTAATTTGAACATTTTGACATTTAACATCATTTTGACATTTGAAAACGTCTTTTTTTTCTCTCTCATGTTTATAGTTTAAATATTAAGTGTTGTGGGTGGAGAGGTGAGGCAGTGGCCCAGTGACCATGGTAGGAAACACCAGTCATATATTATTATCTGATTCCAAAAGCTTTTATTTTAAAGAAGAAATTAATATAAAAGTGGTACTTGGAAAGAACCGAACCAAAAAACCACGCAATTCTGTGCTCCAGTGTTTACTTAAGTATTATGATTAGTGAGCTACTTGGTGGTTTTCCCCTTCATAACTGCAGCTTGTGGTAAATATAATAAATGATTTCCAATTAAGGACTAGCAGAACTCATGACAAGAGAAATTTCTATCAATTTATTAAAATTAAGTCTCTTTACACTGGGATAAACAATGTAGAACATTAAAATATTGTGTCAAGAGTGTATGCTTAATTAAACTTTCATTAGCTAGGTAATTCTTTATATTTTAATAGGTATGATTTTTCTTGGTTTTAACAGTTTTTAACTCTGTATTTGTAGAAAAAACAAACTTTCAGCAAATCCCAGTATTCCAGTTCTGGTTCATTTTAACAGCTGAATGAGTTGGAGGTCTTACTATTTTACTCATTCTTATTAGTTTGTAAGGAGGAGATTGGTCTATAACAAATCTTGGTTGCCTGATGTAATACGTAATAGGCAACAACTTTACTACATTGAATGGAATGACTGGGATTTAAGCCATTGTAAGACTAAAGAGTAAGACTAAACATCTGGATTCAGAAATCCAGTCTGTGATTTATATTTGCTGAAGAGCAATAATAAATGTTGTACAGATGATGATCATCATCTTGAGTACTTTGCAGAATAAAGCATTGTTACGAGAATCTGTTCTCTGAGAAGTAATGACTTCAGTCTAAACCAGAAAGAAATAGAAAAACTGCTGTGTTGAGTCATGATGCTTTAAAAGACAGTATTTTCATTAGATTAAAAACAACTGCATTTAAATTCAGATATCTGGCTTACTGCTCATGTTGGGTTAATAAAAATAGACTGCAGCGATAACAAGCACTGATTATGATTTATCTCTTTACCTAATCAAATTCTAAAAGAAGTCCGATGTAATTTCTGTGGTATAATCTAGGAAGCTTACTCCTGGAGGTCCAGCTTTTCTTGATGAAATGATGTTAAATACTGTATCTGATAGTACAAATTGTTTTACAGACAGTCTTTTCTTCAGAGGAACATTGAATCAAAAAATGTGTCAGTACATAATTTGTTTAATGTATACATAGCTGTATTTAAAGGAGTGTTTGCTGAAGTGATACTTCTTTGGAAGTTTGCAAAAGTCTTTCCATGGATTTTTTTTTTTCAATTTTTTTTTTAATCAACGATGGCAGTTTAGTGAGTGTGAAAGCTATAGTACATCTAACAGGTTGTCGGTAGGGTTTTTTTTTGTTTCTTTCCTTTTCTTGAACTACAGATTGTAGTAGAGCTGCACTTATCATCTCTGCCTTTTATACCCAGGCAAAGGTAAGAAGAGCATAGAGGATTCAACTTTTCTGTAGTTTCTTGCTGAGTAAATGACATAGGTAAGAAAAATGGGGTGCAGAAGTCACCATATCTACACACACAAGAAACTAAAGTGAAACAGCTATTTTTTTTCTGAGTATACAGTTCTAGATATGTAAATTCAAATGTAATTTTTAATTAGATCAGCAGTGTGGCAACATTTGATGTGTTAGGAAAATCAGGCACTGAAGATAAGTGTTTTTTGCAGTATGTTCATTTTGATGTTTTTTTCAGCAAGTTCAAATCCACAGTTGCTGAGAAAGTATTACCTATCTGAATTAATTCAGGTACCTATGATCAGCTTTTCTATTGTAACATGAATGCTCTTCTGGTTTTAAGATCATGGGTATGTGTTGGAGAAGCAGTGAGTGGATTAATATCTAGTGAAGTGCTCTGTAGTGAATAAATATGAACACAGGGAAAAACCAAAGGTGAATGACAAGGGAAGGAGAGAAATCAAACACAACAGACAGTAAGGGAACCAGATGAAATGAAGGAAAAATACCCAGTCATCAACCTATCATGTTAGCTTTAAATTGCCAGACCAAAACATGGGTAATCACAGAAATGATAGCAATGGGACCTTTCTGACTCAAAATTCAAGTGGAAATAGTGTGCCTCTAGCTTTTAGCTCACTATTATTATGGCTTCATTCTTGACCTTCAGATTTTGCTTCTTCATGGCCTGTGTCAGACACCCCTATAGAAAGCAATGTGACTTCCAAATTTGAGCTTCGTTGCTAGAGGTTTTAAAACCTGCGTGTCTGAACATTTTGTTAAAGCAAAATTTAAATGAAATAGCAAGGAATTGTACCTTAGTGCTTCTATAGATGTTTTACCAGCTCTAAAATATTTTGGGAAGTAAATAATTACTATTTCATGTAACTATCACTGACCCTAACTGAAGCAACAAGCTTCTGCTTGGTTAGTTAATTTTTATTCATTTTTCCTCTGGGCCATGTATGTCTAGTTGCATATGGGGTATCTTTATTTCTCCCATCACTGTGGAAGGGGTTTTCTCATTAATGTTAATGAGCCACATCCACAATGAGAAAAGACCTCTTAGTAATTTCGTGATCCTTCCTTTAACATACCAAACAGTACTCCCTCTTAAAAATGGGTGAGGACATCTTGATTTTTACAAACTATCTAGTAGTTTCCAAATGAATCAGTATTGACTACATTCTCACTAATAAGCAAATAATGAATATAAATTTTTTGAGGGTTTAGGGGGTACTTGTGTTAAGATGTGTTTATGCATAAGAGTATAGAGCTTCTCTCAATGGCAAGAGCATTCTCAGAAAATTTCTTCCTTGGTCTCATATTTGAGCTTTCCAATCCCCAGGTTCCTCAGTGTGTTAAGAAATGCTACCAGAATTTGCACTATTCCTGGATTCTTCTCAAATACATTTTTTTTTACAGTTCAGGTGTGAGCAAGGCCATATTGTCTAAAATTTTCATAGACTATGCTGTTTCATTAAGCATTACATGCACATTTGTTGCTTTTCCATTTTGAGCATTTTAAATCCATTATAATGTTTTTTCTTTCCCATTAGTGAGTTTTTCTGTGAGTGAATGCAGAAGGAGCCCCTTAGGAGATCATGTATGCTTCTCATCTTGTAGTTCAGCAGAAACTGGCTTCTTATGAACATACAAATAGGATTAAAGCAGAATGCTCCAAGAAAAATGTCAGTGTTTTCACTGAATTTAAATTATTTTCTCCTAATTCTAAAATGAATGTGTACAGCTGTAGGAATAAGTGCTCTGCCATGGCTTCACCATTTGGTGAAAAGTCATTGTTCCTAAAACACAATACAAACTGCTAGACATAGCGAACAAAAAGCAAAATGTGAAAAGCTGTTCTGATAAAAAAATAATTCCCTCTTATTATCTATCATAATACAATGAGGATAATTAGTAAAAATGGAGGAAAGAGATTTATGAAGTATAAATGTTAGCTTAAAAAGAATTGACAGTAAACGGGCCATTCATAAATGTGGTTTGTCTGACTGGTAAGCATGATCTTTTGCTAAAATAGAGTGGGGGAAAAAATTCTACCTTAATTGATAGTTGAACTTTATGAAAGGGATTCTACAGCATCTTCAACTACTATATTAGCTATATATATCAGATTGAACATTTTTGTCAGAAGCAGATCTGCAGAGAAAAACAGGTAGTGTGAATCTCCTAATACGTAGTTCACAATTATCTTATTGTGGTCTGTGTCTAGTCCAGTCTGAATACTGTAGTTAGTAATAGAAGGGCATCTTCCCATTTAGTTACCTGTAAGAAAAGGTTACAGCATGGGAAGCATGCAAACAGACAGGTTTGTTTTTTTTTGTCCTGGGGTGTTCTTTTAAGGATAAATTTAGTAAATAGGTAATTTTCTTATCTGTAAAATTTTGAAGAGATATTTCCAATATTATGTATGTAGGAATATAGTTTACATGGAAAGGAAAAAAATATGTTAATATTTCGGTTAAACTGTAAAATCTGCTAGTTTGCTTTTATCATAGAGAAGTGTCATGGTTTAAACCCAGCCAGACAGCTCGTTCACTCACTCCCAGTGAGTGGTGCCGGACTGGAAGCAGTCAAGGCCTGTGCCGCCCCCCCGCCCCCTGGGGGCTCTCCCCTTCCCCGATCCCAGAGGGATGGGGAGGAGAATTGAAAGAATGCAACTACCGCGGGGTGAGACAAGAACAGTCCAGCAGCCAATGTACAACACAAATCACCACCGCTACCACCAACAACAACGATAAGAGAAAATAACAAGGGAAGGGAATACAGTACCACCCGCCGAAAAATGAGTCTGACCTAGAAGACCCCCTGTCCTTCCGGGTAACTCCCGGTTACCCCCCGGGCATGACATGCTGTGGTATGGAATACCTCTTTGGCTCGCTTGGGTCAGGTGTCCTGTCTGCTTCCTCCCAGCTTCCCCTTCTCCCTGGCAGAGCATGAGCCTCACAAAGTCCTTGGTCAGGGTAAACGTTACTTAGCAACAACTTAAAACATCGGTATTATCAGCACTGTTCCCAGGCTGAAAGTCAAAACACAACACTGCGCCAGCTACCAAGAAGGAGAAAAATTGACTGCTACTGCTAAACCCAGGACAAGAAGATAAAGAAATGAAAAACTATAAAGGTTACAAATTTAAACACATAATCGCCCTCCTTATTGATGTTTTTGCCTATGATTGTTGATCAAGATACTGTCTTATTTTAATTAGAAGATAAACTGGTGACATGTCAGTGTAAGGATTGATTAAATACCAGAATTACTGTTTGAAACAGTCTTTCGAAGTGCTCACTTTTTCTAATTTGAAGAGTATTATTGCATGTATACCTTTAAAATAATTTAAAAAACTGAGTTAATAAAGCTAATATAACAGATTTTTTGTGTCACTTTCATTTATAAATGACTGAAGGAAGATAACAGAAACCTTAGAAGGTTATATGCTGTATTGTGAGCTTTTATTTTTTTGAAATGTTAAGGGGGTTTTTGGTGTCTTCATTAAGCAGCTATTTTGATCTCAAGTGTCTCTCACTGATTTTTGTTTTAATTATATCTTTTGACATAAATATATATTAGAAATAGGTAAGATTCAATGAATGGTTATGAAAATTGAAAGAAAATTCTGTGGGAGAAATCCAGGAAGTACTATCAAGAAGCAAGAAAAAAAAACGAAAAAGGTTGGGTGTTTTTCTGTTGCTCTTTGTAAGTATGAGGAAGCGGACAGTTAAGTAACCTAAAAATCAGCATTCTAAACTCTGTGTGAGTAGAATAAAAATATTGGGAAGGTCTCTATAACTCTTGAAAGGGGGCTAAGGAAGGACAGCTAAATTGCATAATCCTCATGCTGGTAATCACTACCTCAGAAAATCTCCCTGGAGTAAAATCCTGGTTCTCTGCATATATTGCCTAATATCAAAGATTTTTTTTTTCTAAAGACATGTTTGTTTATAAGCAATATTTACACTATCCTGATTCAGAAAGCAGTTTCCTTCTCCAAAACGGTGACTCAGTGCAGTATCTCATCTAAGATAGATTTGGGAGCAGAGGCAGGGTCTCTACTGTGAGAATCCAGATCTTGGGTTTTTTTTAAACTGCAATCAATACCCCTTGAAAAGGAGTGTGAAAACTAAATACATAGAATTTCAGAGTCTGTCTACTCTGTACAGTCATTCTGTTACTAGTCTGTAATTTCAGTGAAGCTTTTCTGCTAGCCATAAAACTGTAAATTAAGTGCTTGCATTCATGATCATACCATTATTCCTCCTCCTCTTTAAGGGAGGATTGATGCCTTGGAATGCACGATACCTGGATGTTTTAGTTGATTTTCCTTTATTTGCTTTCATTTCTCTCTGTTTGACACAACTCTTGCTTAGAGCACAGCCTGGGATTAAGGTCTGTGCTTTGCTTACAAAAGTTGTGCTTTTGAAATGTAGCATATGAAAGACTGCTGTAATTTCACACTGTAAAACTATAAAATGCTGGTGCTTCTTTAGGGATATCTTTCCAGATTAATTAGAAATTTATGGTAGGATAAGAAATGCAGACAATTTTTGTGTGATGCTCAGAATGAAGGTGGATACCAGCCTGAAATTAGTTTTCCTGAAGGTATTTTCAGTATTAGTCCTGAATAGATATTGTTAATTCCTATTGAACAGTTCAGCACAGTGAAGGTACTCCAAATAGCAGTTGTCACTTCTGGAAGCAATTCAACATATATGTTTAAGTACATGACAGCTAGTTTAATTTATTATAAGTCTCTTGTTTACTCTGTGCAATTGTCACCTGCAGTTCTGGTCTCTCATGTGGCATGTTATTGCTGAAAAGAGAAGGAACACTCAAAAAAAACACTTGCACTTTCCATTCCCTTTGCAAATCTCGGCCCAGGGTAAATGAGGGACTTAAGTTCTTCTGAAGGAAAACATCTTTTGAGCAATATAATCCACAGAGCTATAAATGTAAATTTTCTGTTCTGAACAGGAATGAGAAAGATGCATCCAGTGTCTGGTTAT